CAGAGTCAGCTATCAAAACTGCGGCACGGCCCACAGCTCACGCATTTGGCATTAAGCGCGAGCAGTTGTAGTCCAGTCCAGGTCGGTCCAGAAGCCGCGCCAGAAGTAAAAGCAGCCAACCAGGCGGCTAACACATTCAGAGATAAGGAACGTGCAATGTTAACGGAGCTTTTCGGTGCTGTTGCAACTATTTCAGCTGCTGCCTCCCCGGGAGACGTTGTTAAAGATGGCGCATGCGTGGCAGACACGCAGCGGGCAGCCGCAGCAGCAGCAGCTGGGAGCAGCAACAGCGAGCAGCCAGATGAAGCGAAACTAAGTCAAATATTTGTAGAACAGAGCAGCAGACAGGCAGCTCCCCGGGCTAACTGCAAATGTGAAATTTATGGGCCCCAAAAGGCGCGTGGACGTCTCAGTTTCTAACATGAAACGTATAGCGCAAAGCTGCCACATGCACGAATTTCAAATACCCTAAGTAAAAGTTTAGGTTGAAGAATAAAATGAGAGAGTACGAATATCTGCAAAGCCCTAAAAGACGTTTATCTTTTTACAGATATGTCAGAGTTTGAGAAAGTATCTTTCAACCGATTGTTCCAAGGGAAGCTGTATAATATATGGTGTCCGAGCTGGCCGACCTTCCTTCCGACCTATGTGCTGCCTGCCACAGAAAGGTTGACCTAAGCCAAGTTTCAAGAAGAGAGACTAGTTGTCATGTAAAGAGACAGACAGACATGTCTATATCAAACCGCTTGAGCTAGAATATATATATTTGATGGGTTCGGAAATGTCTCCTTCTAAGAGTTATACATCTCATGACATTAATAAAACCCTGTACCCATATGTGTTGCAATTATTTTGCTATGCTCTACATGATGTTGCAAACGCGCTCTCGTAACTGTTATAGCCTTTCGCTGGTTATGCAAATTTGATACAAGTGCATGCAAACGAAAAGCAACGATTTCTTTTTGGCCAGCCGCATATTCATAAAGTGCTTTTTAATGGCAGCTCGAGGTCTCAGCCCCACTCTTAGCCGCAGTCTCAGCCCCACTCTCAGCCTGTGGCCAAGTCCAAATCCTAGCTAGCTGCAACGTCTATCGCAATGAGAATGAATGCTGACAGGCGGCCAACCAGGAGGCGTCTGTCATTTATCGAAGTCTTTGCATGTCTCTGCATGCGACTACATTTGATAAGCAGGCAAAAAAGAAAAAACCAGAAAGGCAAAAAAAGTATTCCCATTCAAGCGGAGCAGCTGGCTGGTCGATAGCTCAACTCCCAATTGGCATTGGCATTGGCATTGCCGCTTACTTGGCCTGGCTTGTGCGCTGTGCGTTCTGGGCTTTGGCCAAATCCGTTAATAAGCCATTTTGACAAATTGGATGATTGCCGTCTGCCAGGGGCTTTGCGAGCAATGTGTGGAAAGTGTGACGATTGCCAATTGATCTGAAGAGTAATGAGCGGCATTTCAATCTGCGTTTGTTGCCCAAAATCTTATTTGTGTAGCGTGAATTTCAGCATAAAAGTATCTTTAAGATGCAAAGCCAAAACAAGTGCAAAGCCTTGTCAAACTTGCTTGTCAAACTCAACAGCACTTTATACAATTTTCAAAGGCAGACTGTTGTATATACTATAGGATACTCTTTCCTTATAGATAGAATAACAAGCGTAAATATTTGAAAAAAGGTAGGAAGGTAGGAATCTTAACCTAATGAAAATACGAATTTTGATTGCTCTATCTAAATTGAGTCCAATTGAGACAAAACTGGAAGTTGCAGGCCTAGTCTCGCAGAAAATAGTCAAGAGTAGTCAGACAACAATATTAGTATACTCTAACTTAGCTTAATAATCAACCGAACAGATATTTAATTAATTATATAGTTAGTTAGGAATTGTAAAACTGCTTACAAACGTCTCTCTCTCTCTCCCTCGGTCTCTTCCTTTCCCTCCGATGCTCTGTCTACATCATATCTTGATCATAGCATTTGATTGTGTTATTGCACTCGTCGTCATGCACTTGATGGAATACTAGAAATCAAATTAAATATATTAAATACAGTTGATGGGCTATTTAAGGATTCGCGAGTAACTCACCGTTCTTGGTATTGAAACAGTTCCATTCGCTCAGCTCACATTGTCCTGGGAACTCGACAACGCACTTGTCATTGGTGGCGCAGACGGGCAGCGATTTTTCTGGACACTGGAAGTTGCATTTGCCCAGTTTCTGTAGCTCGCGCTGCTGCTCGAGCAGCTCAGGCACTTGTTCATCGGCTGTCAGCAAACGCGCCTTATAGTGGCTGGGCTGAGCTGTCGTGGTGGTGCTGGTGGTGGTGGTGGTGCTAGTGGTGCTGGTGGTGGAGGTGCTGCTACTTTGCTCGTTCTGCTTTTGCGCCTGGAGCTTCTCGTGCTCTTTGATCGACTGATTGATGGCTTGGGGTATGTGCGTCTGCGCCTGTTGCATCACATGGCTGACGTGCTGCTGTATCTTGTTGACCTTGTCGCCAATGTCCAGCGGCGCTTGGCCGGGCACTGAGACCACAATCTGCGACACCGGCGGCATCACCACTTTGTTGTAGCCCGCAACAGGAGCCGCATGCTGCCATGTGGCCGTTGCCTGATGATTTATCACCTGCGGCACCTTCGGCCGCTCAACGTGTGGTGGCAGCAAATCCAAATGCGGCACTGCTGCTGCATTCGCCTGTGCATTTCCATGCCCATTTTCCTTGCCATCTGCAACCTGTGGCACGTGGCCGCTCAGCGTTGTGGGCTGCCCGTTTGGCTTCTGCGCCAACACATGATTGATGTGATTGGTTATCAGGGTTTGAATGTGCGCCGGCAGCTCGATGGGATGAGGCGACTGCTGCTCCGGCTTGTCCAGCTCCTCGGCGTGCGCCAGTGCGAGTAGGGCTACATTGAACGATTTCGGTTATATCCGAGTCTCTTATAATCTTTCAGAATATACTCACCGAATATGATAAAAGCTCTCATCTTGTCTCTTGGTATCCACAAAGATCACTCGATATCAACAGGCTCTACTGGCGATTCACTTTCACTTCAAGACGCTCGGCGACGTTCTGTACAGCTTTCTTTAGCAGCCGCCAGTTTTTATACGATTCCCAAACTGATCAAACATCAATTGTTTTTGTTTGACATAAGCATTTTTGTTTCCTAATGAACTTTTTATGATAATTTAAACACGAAGCTTTGTAAATTCTGTACTCAGTCTCTGTACTCGGCGCTCTCTAAAGGAACTGGTTTCGATTTGCCTGAGCGGTCGGCTGGCTAAGCGAAATATTGTCAGATATATCTGTGCTTTGCATTAAACGCTTCCTTATGGAATATTATGTATACACAATATTTTAACTTGTTGTTAAGCCCTGATTGGGGTGTGACAATAAGCTGATGGAAAAGGATTCACGACAATTTCTGGAGCACAAAATTTAAAAACTGGTATTAGATTAATGTGCACCACACAATAAAAAAGATGAGCACACAATAAAAATAAAAAGGCATACACTTAGGAGCTCATTTCCAATTTCTGAAACATATTTTTAGGCTCAGGCCGAAGTTATGCTTCACAGCCCGGAAATTGATGGTACTTAAAAAAAAGCAACACCTCACACAGCGCACTTAAAACGAATATTCATTTTAATATAAATAACTGAATAAATTAAATTTTAAAAATAAAATAACAAATAAACAGCACGTTATTATTTGGCATACACAAAAGAAACAAATGCAAATTTCCCACGGGTACTCCGTCCGCCCCCTCTCCACACCAAAAATAAAAACAAAAGGTTTTATTTTTGGCAGGCAGACGACGAATAAATGACAGGCCCCATGCTAATCATGATGATATTTCAGTTTTGCATATTTCTCTGAGGTGTTAAAATAAAGGATTATGGCAAAAAGCAACAAAAGCAGAAAGCTGCAAATTTGCCAGTTGCCCATGTGGCAATATTCAGTTATAAAAACATTTGTGGCAGGTGCAGAAATAGCAGTTCAACAGTTGATGCACATGCAGCAAGGTAACAACAACAACAACAACAGCCAAGTCCGAATAGCCTAAAAACATGAAGCATTCGCTGCTCTGTCTCTGTTAGTTTGACAAGCACTGACTTAGCTACTCAAACTGTAATTGTGTCATTCTTCCGTTCTAGTTTGCTTTGCCATTGCCGCCGCCGCTGCGAGCGCCACTGTGCTGCCAGCAAAGCGGAGCCACCTACCGGCGGTCAATCAGCATGGGCAAATGATCTGGCTGGATGAGACGATCCATCCGGTGCCCGACAGATGCGACTTCGCCTGCACCGATCACGACATCGAGGTCTGCGCCGACAATGGTCAGTGCCTGCAAATGTTCACCAGCCGCTGCACCATGGCCGCCTACAATTGTCGCAATCCCCGGAAACGCTTCAATATTGTCGAGAACTATCGCTGCACCCAAGGCTATCAGCCACTCTGCAGCAAGGAGGATCGACGCGAGCTGCGCCTGACGCAGTGAGCAGAAAATGGGCTATTCGGAAGTTGGCTGAAGAGTTATAATAATAATCAATATAATGACTAATAATAATAATAAAAATTAATAATGATAATAATACAAAATATTTTTTATGTATTATTAAATTAAAGACAATATAATAATAACAGTATAAGTTTTGTATATTTGTGCTAAAAACTAAGCTTAACTTAGTAACTTATTAAATAAAAAAGTAATTAAATAATAATAATAATAAATATATGTATTGGGCCATTTATACAGTTATGAGCATGGTAAAGCTCGCAACTGCTGATTCTCATAGAAGAAATATATTAAAAAGCAACACACTTTTCCATATAAAGCCTTCATTATGACCGACTGTTTTTCTAGGAGCTATATGATAGAATAGTTCCATGTTGTACAAATAATTCACTCTTGTCAGCAGCATACTTACGTTGTTTTAAAAACAAACATATATATACTAAAATATTATATATAAAGAGAATTTAATTAGAATAGCTTGATAACTGTGAGACTAGACAAGCGGACATGGTTACATCGACTTCGTTCATAGTGATCAATTATAAATATTATATAAATGTATTATATATAAATAAACAACTAAAACATACATACTAAGTGTTTTGAGAAAGCTAATTACTTCTTATATAAAACAAATATATTTCGTGACCAAATTATAATACCCCGAACGAGAACAAATATTTAAAGAAAATATCGGGTTTTAGCTGCTGTTTGCCAGAAGTATATTTTCAATTGCAATTGTTATTATTGTTTATTATGAAATGTATTATTTTTATGTGAGAAATTGTAAATGGTTTCAGGCACCAACCAAGCTCACATCTTAAGATCCTCCTCTTTGCAGCGACGAGCGCACAAGCCCATGCGGCAGATATCCTCATCCACGGCACGGAAGGACAAATCGCGATGCTTACAATTGAAGGTGTCCATGATGCATTGATTGGGAAACTCATGGATGCAGATGCCGTTGTGGGCGCAAATCGGATTCAGCTCAAATTTGGTGCACAGCCTATCGCAGCTCTCCACGGGAGTTGGCGGAACTGGCAACCCAATGGATGGGCCTGTGGTGCCAGCCAACAGCAGCTGATGACAGTTCTTGGATGGCATGCGCGTGGTCGACACATCTGGTGTATGCGTGGTACTAGGTGGTGGAACGACAACTGGTTGAACTTCCGAGGCGGGACTTTGTGTGCCGGAATGTGGATTTCCTGGTTGGGTGATACCTACATTGGATACGCTAGGATTGGGCAAGCTGTGGTTTTCGACTCCCGGCTTCGGTATACCATGATTTGGTACGCCAGAATTGGGTATATTATGATTGGGTACTCCGGGATTCACCGTTTCGACAATAGCTCTCATATTTCGCACCTTGGCCTGCGGCACTTTAACTGTGGGTGGCACCAGCACTTCCTCGCCTACCACCTTGCCCGGTTTCAGCTCCACCACATGCGCCACCTCCACCCGATCCTTATCCTTATCCTGGGTCATAACGGGCTTTCCATTCGACAGCAACGGCACTTGGACAGTAACCCGACCGATCTCTGTACTTGGCTTCACCTGCGCTGTGACAAATACGGAAGACAGCAGCACTACGAAGACATGTAAGATATCAAGTGAGACTGGATGCTGCCAATACATTTCGAGCTGAGTTTTCACCTGTGGCCAAAACCAAAAGGAGCACCTTTCCCATCATCTTCGACTTCGAGTTGTTTGACTTCTGTGTCCTGAACCGAATCTTGGCAAGGGCTTTTATACGATTTGAGAGAACTGCCGATGTTACCAACCCGTTTACAATTGAATCCAACAGCTGTGATGACTTAACGTAATATTTCAGAACCTGTTTTGACAAAGCTTTCCTCAATATATCCCACGATTATGATTATTTATATTTTTTACGGGTGCGTTTCTGGCACTTCATTAATTTGAAAGAAATGCTAAGCTCATTTCTTTGAAATGTTTTATAAAATTCTTTTTTATTATTTTTAGTAATATTTCGTACACTTGCTTGGTGTAAATTACAATTTAAAATTCTATGCTATGGGGCACAGATATAGTATTACATATATTTAGTTAAAATATAATGGACTTTTAAGTGTTATCTACAAGCTTAGCAGATCGCATTTCGTGCCTTTTGCAACACCTACTTGCTTTCTATTATAAAAATCAAGTTCTTAAAACTTTTAAAAATCATTTAAGGCATCAAATATTTTGATTAGCAAATCGTTAAATTTAGTTTTGATATAGATAGTTGGTATTATTGGTATACACATATATATATATATATATATATATTGGTAAAAAGAGAGTTGACCACTTTGAGTTCCGTTTTAAGTTATCGTTGAGTTTAGGTTTACGCTATTAGGGCTCGTCCACAGCTCGAATACGATCTATGTACTTTAATCGAACCGCTTAGCGATCCCTAAAACTTTGCACATTACGTCCATTATTTAAGTTTACAAAACACATATGCATCATTATTACGTAATTCAGTTATATAAGTTTGGTTTTTTTTTTTTGTTTTTAATTATTATCATGTTCGACCTAAAACTTTCTTTGCCTTCTCTTAGATCAAGTTTTAACTAAAACTCCGACTACATATCCTGGGGATTGTCCATACCATAAACGCAAATTTTTGATAGGCTCTTCATCGATCTGGGTTAGTATCTGGGCAGCTAAAGACGCTTGGGAATTTGAATTTGAACACAAAAGTGTTTAGATAATATAAGAAAAGAGAATAGACAAAATGTTGAAGATATAAAAAAACTGATTAGGAGCAGGAAGAGAATATAAATGAACTGTAGAAGATTTTGAACAAACTTCATACACATACTATATAAAGAAAACATGAGAGTATAATGTTTTTAAACGAACAAAAGTTTCCCAAGCGCTGCCCAGTACTAAACTATATTTAACAATGTTGAAATCATATATAAATATATATAGATATATCATCATCATTTTTAGGGTACTCGGACCTTGTCTCTATGCCTACTCATATACACATCATATACATGGTTATAATTATTTCTTGTATATTAATAAATATTGTTGATTTTAAAAGGTGTATAATCTTATGAACTAATAATTGTTACAGTTAATATCTTCAGGGCTCAACAACACTACAAAAACTATAAACAATTTGCTGGGTTTCTTTTGTTTTGTTTTTTTGTTTTTTGTTTTTTTTTTGACAATATTGGTTTAGTTGCTATTTTACAAACATGAAATTTGTTATACATAACGATTGGTTAAAAAGTTTGACAAAGAAATATAATATGAATAACAAAATTTTAAACTAATTTCACATAAATTTGTAGTTCTGTTCACTTGTGTTGTTCGGTTTAAAAACTACAATAAATTGTTATAAAATAAATTACGACTTAAACTGTATACATAAATATATGGGGCGAGTGCTTAAAATGTATTTTAAAGTAGTTCATTAGTTAGTTAATCTTGCTCTGCTGCTTTTCTTTTTTTGTTTTAGTTTTCTTTTGAGTTTAGTTTAGGTGGTCCAGTTACCGCAGTATCTGGGTTTAGTTTTACTATTTAATATGGTTGTTCTTTATTTTTTGCGTTGCTCTATTTGCGCTCCATGGGCTTGACTTCGAGCAGCTGGGGATAGTTCTCCACAATGTTCAACAGGATCGTATCGATATAATGCTTGAGGCGCACATTCTCATCTTCCTTTTCCTGGAAGGCCTGTTGCAGCTGTAAGTTGATTGGAAACCGATCAATTAGATACACTTTCAACGGCGATTAACATCCCAACACAAAGACAGGCATGAATGACACCTTTTATATTTACACTTTTATATACAACATGAATTTTATGAGGTTTGATGATCTTGAAAATGTTGTTGTTAAGCACCCAATGAAACCAACAGAAAAGATTTCAAATTTTCGCAAGAGTTAAGTGCCGAAAACAAATAATTATAATAAAAAAAAAAATAAATAAACGTGAACCACAACCATATAACAGTGGCTGTCAAACTGCACACAGCTCATGCACAGCGGCTCCAAAACCGTGTTTTTGTGTAATTTTTTGTTGCCTTTGGTTTTGTGCTTTAGTTTTTGTTGGTTTTGTTTTTATCTTGGTGAATGCGCATTACCTGACTTAAGGATGCTAATGTGGCTGAATCCACAGAATCCTGTAATACAATAAATACAATATAAATATATATATATATATATGATGATAAGAACAAACGACGCAATGCGAAACGGGCACAAGGTGTGTATGCAGCGGGACTCTCAAACTGTGCGACTAAAAAAAGCATGACTGTGCGTGGGCGGCGTGTTTTGACAAATGTTTTGTGGGCGTGGATCGCGGCATTAGAATAGCAATAGAGCAAAGCACGGGTAGTAGTGCGCGTATTTGAGCATGACATTACAAACCTGAGCTTGTGACATCTCCTCCAGCTCCTGGGCCAGATTGTTGAGGGTGCCGTTCAACAGATGACGACCCTGCTCCACGCCGTTGGTCAGCATGGTGGCCTGATTCGTCAGCATGGTTGCCTGCAGCTCCTCGTTCTGCTCCTCAAGGGCTGCAAGAAAAACGAGCGTGTGTAAAGTGAGTAAAGTGTATTGGCTAAGGCTGTTGTGGACTGCTTACAGCGATTCTTTTGGCGCATTTCCTCGAGCTCCTGATGCAGCTCCTCCAGTCTTATGCTCTCCGGCGATGTGGTGGGCATGGCACGTGCCCCATTCTCCTCGCGGGCGCGCTGCAGTTCGCGACTCAGCTCGAGCATTAGCTCCTCGGTGGACTTTTTCTCCTGCTCGTGCCGGCGCACCGTCTGCAATTGTTCATCGTATTCCTGCTGCAGGGCGGCAATCTGATCGCGTGCCAGCTCCAGCTGCTCCTCGGTGCGATGCAAATCGTTGGCCTGTTTATCGCACAAGACACGCAACCGTTGCGCCTCATCGCGCAGTGCATTCGCCTCGATCTCGGTAGCTTTGATCTTCATCTGGCAATTCTCATTCTGCAGCGAGGCTTCGCGTTCCACACGGGCCAAAATTTCGCGATGACGCTTCTGCTCCTCGGCCAAACGCTCCTCGGCGCGCAGTTCCGACTATTGCGAAAAGCATAAGATTTAGAATTGTGCTGTGACTGTCAAACTGTTGCAGCTACTTACCTCTCTGTACTGCTCCTCGAGCATGTGATAGCGCGCCTGGAGCACCGCATATTCAGTCTTGGTGCGCGTCGTGCGATCCTCGGCTATGTTCTGCGTATCGGACAGATCGTCCACCTTGCGCTGCAGCAGCTCCAGCTGAAAGAGCCACAAAAGATTGCGAATGGTAAATTGAATTGTTTATTTACTGCTGAAGTTTCGAATTGATAAAAAGAATTCCATTGATGCGCTACTAACACAATCGCTTTTCATGTGCCGCAAATCGTGGAGCAGCTCATTCACCAACTGCACATCAGCCATGTGATTTTTCAAATACATTTGCATATATATGATATATACATGATCTGGGTCTCTATATGTCTCTATGTGCCTGCCTGCCTGTATGCTGTTGCACTCCGCTCATCAAAAATTCAACAAATATTTGTTGGCTTTGCGCGTCGGGCGTCGTCTTTGCACATTTGCTTGCCCCAACCGACTGCAAACTCAGCCGGAGGCTGTTTTATTTGTTTTTTGTTCGACAGAGCCGAAGAAGAAGACGGCAAGCGACGCACACTGTAGGCTGGCAACACTTAATTACACTGCGCAACAAAATCATGAAACTAACTATAAACCAAAGGGTCTGCAAAGTGCAAGCATCAGATATGTTTACTTTTTGAAAACTGTTTTATTACTTTAATAATTAGATGGAATAGAAATTACATTCATAAGTTTTATATATATGTTAGATTTTAATTGTGTGTTGCACAGTGTTATTAGGCATGCCTAGCCCATATAAATTTCATAAATATTAAGTATACGCCCAAGTGTTTTCCAATTGTGAAACAGGCCCCCCAACAACAACATGTTGGCGTTGCATTCATTAACTATTTTTGGTCGTTATGTGAAACCAAATTGTTGACTTCAGCGATTTTAGTTTGCTAAAACTGCTGTTCAGTGTAATTATCAATGCATGTATATATACACTTCTATATGTGCATGCATTTATATGCAGCATGCATATAAGAAATCACTCGGCATTTGTGTGCTCAGCTGCTGTTCTCTGCCGATAAGAAATGTTTAAGGCGGATGCGCATTTGTGTTGCAAGTGGAATACAGGGTAACTGATAGCCCATACAGATGCTGAGTGTGGCAGTTTCCGTTGCATTCTAATCGAACAGTGTTGTAAATGTAAATTTGAAGCCATTAAGCAAGGCTTGTCAGTGTTGCAAAACGAATAAAAAGAAGCTTTTTAGATTTGATAAGTTATAGACGGAAACTTAATACTAAGTAATATGCTAGACAGACTAAACAAATGAAAAGAAATGTCTAGTGTTGAGAAACATTTTTACTGTCAACTCTGAAGATTATCAAAAGTAGAAAAATTAGATTAAATATAAACAGAATTCTGCGCTCATCACATATATACATTTGTTTATGCTCACAACGCTTTCTGCTTACAAAAAGTCAAGTGAAAAGTTCAATTGAATAAAATGCGACACAAAAATTGTGGCTGACTTGGTCTGTGCAGCCGCTGTCAAACTGTAGGCAAAGGGTTCAATTAGGCTTAATTAACCGAAATTTGCGACATTCGAGGGAAGAGCAGCGTAAAAATTGGCAAACAAAAAACAAATGAGACACTGCAAAGCACAAAACAATTTGACGTCAACGCAAATACTGAGAGCTGAATAGAGACTATATTATATATTTCTATATATTATCGAACAGAATGAACAAACAACGCGACGCGCGGTAAGTCAACAACTGAAAAGATCTAGGAATGAGGCCCCCGAAAATGACATGTAAACTATCTATGACTGAGAGACAGCTACAGAGCGAGAGCGAGAGCGAGAGAGAGAGGGGTTCGCTGAGTCAAAGTCTTTAGTGCCATATGAAGGGGGCTGGCTCTATTAGGGCCTCGGTTACTTAAATATGTGTACAATGAACCATGCCAAAAATTATAGTACAAACATTAAGGCAGACAACTAGAATCTAATTGAAATTCTACAGAAAAGAAAGGGGCAGGGGTAACAAAAACAAAAACCGTTGGCCAAAATAAACAAAAAGTACAAGCCATAAAAAAATACACTACACATAAAATGAAAATAATAAAAAAAAATCCAAGCAGACGCATTAAGTAACAAGTGCCGTTGTTAAACAGGAAAAGCATATGTGCGAGAGCGAGAGAGATACACAGAGAGAGAAGGAGGGAAGCAGAGGGGAAGTGCAGGTAGAAATTTCTATATGCCACACGTTTTCTTGTCACTTTTGTTGCAGCCCATCAAAAAATGTAAGCCAAGTTAGCGCCCGAGGGTCAATGTGGTCTGCTTGAAACACCCTGTGAACATTTTGTTATATTTCAACACTGGCAGCAGAGGAAACTGTGAACTGGAAAGTTTTCACAATGTGACAGGTGACATAATGGGGGGAAATGGGTACTCAATAATGGAAAAGTGTGCGCAGCAAAAGAAATACAGCCGGCAGGGGTTAGGAAAATGCATTAGGCAGACGGCTGAACAAGTTGGTGAAATTTGTCGAACAAAATCAAAGGAATTGCTATAAGAAATCGAATGACATATTTAACAGACTTAACACATGATTCTAAAAGCCTTTCAATAAAATTACATTTCTACAACTTTTCTTTTCAAACTAGAGTTAATTATTTGAGCCAGTCAAGTTGAGTTTGCTTTCTTCTCAAAACGAATTCAGTTAGCTTTCCGAAACTCTTATTAAACATTTATCAATCCAATTAATAGTTCTCAAAGATATTGATTTAAAGCAACTTCCCTCACTTAAAGCCCATTATCCACACATTGGCAGCTCATAAACTTCAATTGAACAACTTTACAGCACGGCCCATCAAAGTCAGCATTAGCTTTGACCTCAAAAGATTTCGAACAACAAACAAAGAAACACTTGCAACACTCTTCCGCTGGCAACACAATGATCCCATTTGTTACATTTATCAAACGAGAGTCCGTTCCGATTACCATATATCAGAGGCATATGTTGGAGCATATAGTAAACAAGTGGACGCTGGAAGAGGCATCCGTTTGCTGTCTTATCGGAGCGCCAGTGACCTCCAGGGCCTGTTGCTTGTGAAGACTTTTAAGAGCACACGAGAGTTTTGCTCTTGATTAATAACATGCTCGCATTCACAGCTGTATGCCCAATTAGCAGACCCCAATAGGCTTCAATGGGAGTGAATGAGTGCTGTAGTCATGCATAAAACTGGAAAATTGCATCATGCAATTAGTTGCATGTCGAATTCTCAGCTAGCCCCATGTATGCCCCATGGTGCCGCAGACTGGGAAAAGTACACGTTGCAGCTAACTACATGCATATATCTTAATATGCCACATTTAATTTGCCCCGCAACTGTTGCAATCGCATTAGTTCTCTCGCACTGCGGCAAATTAATCTGTTTTAGAAACTTAAGAGCCCAAAAGACGCTTCTGTTCCCATTTCTCACTTCTCGGTTACTTTCGTTGACACATTTTCACACACTAATCATCCGTTTGGTTAGGTTTCGGTTCATTCATTTATTTTAGGTTCATTCATCAAAGTTGTTTTATTTTTAGGGAATTTCTAATTTTTCTTGTATTTTTCTATTTTTTTTTTCTTTTCTTTTTTAAGCAGCTGAACTCATTTGACGCATTTCTCGGACTCTACGAAAGATAATTTATGTGTTTTCTGTTTATTTTCGGCAGATGTTTGCAATTTACACAAAAATATTCTATAAAAACAAGAAAAACACGATGTTTGTTTAAATTTTTTTTTCTAAGGTAAATATGTCAAGGAAATGTGTAAACAATTCGAACAAAAAAACATTACAGATAATTGGGCACTACGCAAATGTTTTTCAGCTTGCAAATGAAAATGAAATAATTTCAGAATGTTTTTGATCAACACTGGCATTTGTTTGAATACGCCCTTACAACACTACTTCATTTGTTTATGTATACCTTTCAAACACTACTGTATTGATTTGTATATGCCTTTGCAACACTGGTGCATGTTTTTGCCTTTTCAACACTTACATCGTTTGTTTCCAGCATTTTAGTTCAAGTCGTAGCAACAATTTGAATAAACTTCACATAAATCTGTTGACTTTTTACACATATATTTTCCCATATATATTTTAGTAGTTCTCACGAAACAATCCAGAGGTCGACTAAACTATGTGACTTGACAGCGCCTCTTATTTATAGTAAATTGACATTATTGACATGCTATACTAGAGACTCAGTGCAAACTGAAACCAAGCGGGGGGGAATCTACAATAACTACTACATATATACTCTTGTGGCATTGAAATTCCGTTTGGGTTCCACGCAACCCTAAACATTTCGAATAGCCACACAATTAAATTACCCGCAATGATGGAGAGGGGGAACGTTTTAATGCAATTGCATCGGACACATTACATGTAATATTTAAGAAGCTATTCTGGTTCGATTGTGGAGGGTTTTGCTTACTTGCTCGTTGAAATTATCGCAAATCTCCGCGCTAAGGGCGCCGTTCATTTTGCTATTTGTGCCGTTTGCGGCTCCTCCGTTGCCGTTCTCCTCAAAATCACAGAGCAATTTGTTCTTGAAGTTCTTAAGGTTTTCCAATTTGAAACCGTTTGTATTCGTATTGTTTGTCTTATTATTGAATTTACTTGTCAACGTTTCCAAATTGTATATTTTATTATTATTATTATTGTTGTTGCTGTTGCTGTTGCTGTTATTATTATTCGATTCCAAACTATTGTTGTTCGTTTCTAACTTGTTTTCGATGAACACCAGCGAATTGGGCTCCGAATCGGATGGCACAATATTCTCAAAATCAGCCGGATTGAGACTGAGAAACGTCTCCTGATCGAACAATATGGGCTGCTTGCCAAAGCCAGTATATTGCCCAGCCACGCCTACGCCTACGCCCAAACTGTAGGCGTTGCACAGAGGATTCTGAGTGGAGCTCGTATTGAAATTCAAATTCAAATCCTCCAGACTGTCCTCTGACGAAAGCTCTTGACTAGCGTTTCGCTCACTGCCAAATTTCACACAATTATAGTTGTTATTGTTGTTGTTGTTGTTGTTCAGTGCGCCGCTTTTCTGATTTATTGCTGTTGTTGCTGCTGCATTCGCTGTGGGTCCGACAAATTCGAATTGACCCGCCCACATATCATAGGCTAAGTCAATGCTATCGGGCTGGCTGGCAGGTTGACTACTCATGATTTTTTTTGTTTCCGTTTTTTTTAGACGATTTTTGTTTTGTTTTCTACGATTTGAAGGTGTTTTTTTTCTTTTGGCTTAGGTATTTTTTAGTCAGGGGCGTGGCACTGGGCGTTGGGTATTCACACTTGCTGTATGGATTGATGTTTGCTGATGTTTGTTGATTTTTGTTGATTTTTGTTGATTTTTGTTGTTGCAGTCAGTTTTTTTTTTACTTCAATTTTTAAGGCACATTTTTGGGATATTTAGACTTAGGTTTTTGTTTTTTAAAACATTTTTTATAACTTGTTGGGCACTTTTCTGTGCATTGTTGCACACTATAAAAACGCATTAAATTTAAATTAAATTAGGAACTATTCGATCGACTTTTAGCATATGTTTGCCTTGCTTTTGTTAAATTAATCTTATTTTTAAGTTATATGGAATCACGTTTAGTTAATAAAAAATTGAGTTTAATTTTCAATTATTATATTATATTTTATTATTTTATATAAACAATATTGTTTAATTATTTTTGCTATATTTGTTTTTATTGCCAAGCTCTTTTGTATGTTTATTGGTTGAATAAAAGTTTGCGGTTGGACAGTTTTTCTCAGAATTTTTGTACTTAGAGCAGCGCCGCTCCAACGAAACACAAACAACAATTATGTTGAAGTCAACTCTCACAGCAATTAGACTGCGCTGACCGGAGACCAACTTGTGGTGTAAAATTAAAGAAATCCGCGCATTGTAAACATTATAGAGCAATGCGTGCACGCATATTTCCCTAATGAGTTCCTTCAACCCGAAAGAACAACAATCAGCAACAGGTGCGAACAACAATTGCCAGAGGTATTTTTAATTTGTATTAGAGAGCGCGGCAATTTAAACGATATTAGACTGAACCCAAGAGGAGACCTTCTCAAGATGAAAATCAAGCTCGAGGCCAAACAAATTGAAAGGTAAAACTGTTCCGGATTCCACCAACCAGCAATGGCTTCGGGGGCCCACACAGCAGCAGTAAAAGCAGCAGTAAAAGCTGCAGCAGTTGCAGTAACTGCGCACAATATGAATGCAAAATAATCAAACAAAGGAAAACTGGCGAATGGCATTCAAGAATATTTTCCCTGCTTCAATGTTTTTGCCAGTATTTCAGGCAGGAAATGCGCGCGCGCGCTCAGACAAACAAAAGTCATAAGATCCAAGTTCTTCGGGGTATCCGACCCCACTCCCCGCCCTCTGCTCGTAGCACTCTTCTTCTGGTCACGCCTCTTTCTACACGACTGAGTTTGGTCTGCGCTCGGCTTGGCGAGTCTTCTTCTGTGTTTAATTTCCAGCCAGAATTGATGAACTTCGTGCAGATAAAGAAACACAGAAGACTTTACAGCGAGTCTTCGCAGAGCGTCTTTTGCGCTGTTTAGTGGAGCATTCAATGCTGCAATTTTTGCCCCAGCGTCAGCCTTATTGCATTGCATAATATTGCGATGCCCTGTGGGGCATCTTTTCGGTTTTTCAGCGCTTTGCAGCTGTTTTTCCAACCAAATCCAACTTGTGCTCATAAATGTTCTAGATGATTCAATTCAAGAAATAAGAAAATGTGTCATGTTGTGCATGAGTCTTAAATTTTTCTTAAATTGTTTATAATAAATTGTGCATGATTCACACAAGAGCACAATGTGAAGAGCGCGCCGCAGCCATTCGGCTAGTGGAATCGCACAATTGTGCATGTCAAATGATTTTAAGTGGCGGCCATAATAAATTCTCATTTATTTTCTGCGCAAATATTCAGAACAATTCGGGATGTGCGGCCAAACAACACAGAATTGTGTTAAGTATGGCAAAATTTTAAGAATTTCTTCATTAATACAATTAAAACAACGCACAACAGATTTACATTTATTCAATTCCCATCCAAATGTACAATTAAAGCAAACTCTTTTCAATGCAATTTGCCGCTCTAATTCTCCAACTTGATTGGGCACCCTTTTGCTCAATGAAATCCCTATGTAAGCCTTATTTTAATTTTATACACTTGTAGACGGCACAATGAATTTTCTCATGAAATGTGTCACACATAAAAGGCGACATATCCGACATCTAAATCAGCATCAACAGACGAGTTGCTATAGTCATGTCCGTCTGTGCGGGTTTGTGTTTCTATGAGAAAGTCTTAATGCTTTCATCCTTAAAATTTGTTTAAACCCCTTTTTTGTTGCAGGTAGTTGCCATAGGAACGATCGGTCGAAAAGCAGGTTCTTGTATGGAAAACTCTTTTGTTTATCTAGATATCTTTCCCAAGCTCAACATTTATCACTAGGCTCCCTACATATATGCGTTATCTTATCAACATCAGCAACTCAGCATTATTGAGCTTTATTATTCTCACTTATCTGCCAAAGGGAAAAGTGAAATATCTCATGGAGTATTAAATCTTTAGCGGGCCTCCCGATACTATGAGTATTTTATACACATTTGATTATCTATTTGTGAATTTTGTACAGCCCATAAAGTTAGGTATATCGGTTAAAAAAATGTCAACTGCTTTGCCAATAACTTGATCACATATTTCATTGATTTATGCACTTGTTTCTGCTAAATTGCAGCAACAGCAGCCAAGACAACAACAACAACAACAACAACTTTCACCAGTCACAACAACAATTTAAGCTCTGTCGCCAAGTTTTTCGCTGCGTTTTTTTTTTTTTCAATTGTTAATTTTAAGCATTTCTCCAGAAAAGCGCAGTAAATTTACTGCAAGCTAAAAGCGTAAGAAAAAAAAAGATTTGGTGTTTGTTTTTCATCAGCTGCAGCCGCTTTAATAGCCGGCCATTTATAAACATGGCATAATCGATAAATCGGTGGCGTATGCGTGATATTCAATGTGAGATGAACTGCAGACATTTTTATGATGCTTTCATGCATATTGATTTGTGGCTGGCCCTCGACGGGCTGCAGGTGCAGATGTTGTTGTTGTTGCAGTTGTTGTTGTTGTTGCTGCTGCAGTTGCAGTTGCAGACGCTCACGCTTTGAGACAATGAAAATTAAGTTAATGACGCACCTACAGAACGTGCAACGTGCATGTCGTGAAAATGAAAATGATATTAACCAAAAACTATAATCATAATTATGTGACTTTGAGTTTTACAGCTTTCTTAAGGTTGCTGCCCACACACGAAAAAAAAAAAACAAGCACAAAAGAAATTTGGCTGGGTGTATTTTATTGAATTAAATTCATTTATGGACATTCCAATGTCTGCCACACTCATTTATAAGCATTTACATATAAAAATACTAAGCAGCAAATATTTTGCTAAAAAACAAAAAATACTTTAAACGGCAGCAAATTTCTTTAATTTATTTAATTTTAATATTTAAAGAAACTCGAACAATAACGGAAATAATTCTAGAGCTAATCAAGCTCTTCTTGGACAGTGAAACATGAGAAAACTTGATAGATAAATTAAAAAGCTGCAGCAATAGCTAAAGAAAACAAATGTGATCTAGTTATTGTTAATACATATGAGTAACTAGAACAACTTTTTGAAAAGTTAAACAAAAACGTTTACATATGCTCTCATCCCGCCCGCTGCTGACATAATTTAGCCCAATTGAAAGGCTGACTAAGGCTTACTGAGCCAAGCTCAATTTGAAGGCATTGTCATAATCCACAGCTGTTCTACTTTCGAATCGGCCAACTCTACCAGGAAAGCAATTTAACCGCATTAAATCCTAACAAGCTCATCCATTTTACACATTCGCAGAACAACCACATGGATTTGCGCCAGTTTTGAAACTCATTGTCTGATGGTGGAGAACATTTTTGCCATGTCCATTAGACGCCCACACGCTGAGCCCTTTCTAGAACTTGGCCAACATGCACACACACACACACACACATAAAAACTTTGTTAACCTCGTTTCCCAATGTGTAGGGCTGTCAGGAAGACAGACAACAGCTGTTTGCTGTCACACTGATCTCTCACCTTGCCTTTTGCATAATTTCTCAATGCAGTTGCAGTAAGAAAAAGAGCAGTAGAAGAAGAAGAGCACACTCTAAACTGTGCAGTAATCATAGAAGCAGCAGCAGCAACTGCTAAAGTCTACTTCAAGTTCCCTCTTTCATCTTCATTATGTAAGCAACAAGCTTGTAGAGCCAGCAGAGCGTAAAATGATTTTTGTGCCAGACTTAAAAGACAATTAGAATCTCGACTGCAACTTCTGACAACAACTTGGCTGTACGCTTTTTCTTCGAGTGTATTGAAAGCAGTTTGCCTTATTATTTTGCATGTCCAGGGCTTGTCGCTGTTTATCTTTGGCTTTGTTCCATTCGTGCCTTGGCATATCCCCAACTAGTTTCTAATTACGCCAAATTCAATGCTCTGCTGCTCGCCAACCATGGAACAAAAAAAAACACATTGCTTAGCCTATTAAGCTAGAAAATAAATGCAAGAAAAAATAAGCACCACAGCACAGCAAGCATATAGAAATCGTAGCATTTGGCCAGCTTATCAGTAGTCGACTCTATAGGTAACGCGCCCCTGGCACAGCTAAGGTCAATTCTCTACGGTGTCAAGGGGAGCAACGCAGCGGAAAATGATTGATAATGGTTTAGAATTTTTCGGTTTGGTGCTTAGGGTGGACACTTAAAGCACCATCTAAAGGTTTTATATGAAGCTGGCAGTGGGAAAATGTAGGAAAATTTAATATGATGGATTAATGATCGTTTTACATATAAACTTTAAAGCAACAGCTCGCTTAGAATAAGTCCAAAAGGCTTCTCAACGCTTAAAGCAAATCAGCTCAAATGAACAAAAATAAAGAAGGCGTGCAAACCTGTTCAAAAGAATCTATTCAGTTCAAAAGGCATAAGAAACAGGTCAAACAAATTAATAGCCAAGAGCAATTATAATTAGGTCAGAAAGATGAAATAATGTTCGCTGAACATATATAATTTAAAGCAACAGCTCGGTTAGAAATATTTCTTTAGACTTATCAAAGGTTGAAGCTAATCAGCTCAATTGAACTAAAAGAAATGACACTAAGTTAGAAAAAAAATAGTTTAAGTAAAGGAAATAACTATTACTAGACCCACAAACGATTAGATAGATTAGGTCAAGTTTCCATAAGCCTTTTCAAAGACTCAAGCAAATCAGCTCAATTGAACGAAAAGAAACGAGACTTGCTAACCAGTTCAAATGAACCTATAAAGCACAAAAGCTAAAAAAAATAGTTTGACTAAAGTTGAACCAAGAACAATTATTACAAGTTTTCCATTACTACAAAGACAATTAACTGCAAGAGCCTTAAAAAAACCATCTCTTAATTAACTCCACGTCCTAACTTTCTTTAGTTTGAATTTATAAGATTATTTCAACAATTTGCTCATCATCTTTTAGTCAAACAGTAGCAGAAAATGAAGAAAAATATATCATTAGCTTTTCAAAATGATTTTCACAGCACATTTACATACAATTGCCTGCATACCAACTGGTCTCTCGGGCAGGGGTGGGAGACGGGGACGGGGGTTGAGCTGGGGACTACATAAATAAGCAGCAAGCAGCTCATTAAATGCAAATTTTCTTTACAACAACGTAATATACAAAGCATATTTTGTGTGTGTTGAACAAAAGAGCTTCAAACATTTTTAAATCAATTTCATTTTTCTCCTCGCTTATGAGATTTTTGGCATTTTTATTATTATGGAATTTTAATTTGCATGTCAAGTGGAATAAAAAAAAAAAAAAAACGAACGCTGAATTGGCAAAAACTTGCAATTTTCCAATCACAAAGATTAAAAAAGGACCTGACTTTGGTTAATTTGACTTTTTAATTTTGTGGAAACTTTGCACCCTCGTTAAAAGTAAAAATTCAAATGAAATTCGACGCAGTTGAGCACTTGCTCGTCTAATCATTAATATCCACAAATTTGATAAATATGTATTTAAAAGATTTACGTTTTTTTGCTGTTTTTTTTTTTTGGTATTACGAATTCTTTATCGTATAAATAAACAAACCCGACATACAAAAAAAAATTCGACTACAACACGCGAAACGCGAAAGGCGAACTGAACGCAAAATTCACGGGCATTTTTTCAAAGTGAACTATAGCAAAAACAAACCGAGAGAGTCACAGATAAAGACATGGCGAGGGGTAAGAGGGAGAGAGAGACGAAGAGAGTGAGAGCATAAGAGAGGCAAATAGACGGGAGAGAGTCTCTCTCTCAACCCCCGGCAATACGGGCAGATCTTAAAAATAGGCAAACAAATAATGAACAAACCCACAAAGAAATCGACGACGCGATCTGCGTGTGCTCGGGCTTCTGTCCTCTGGGGAGCTGAAAACTGAGAGCTGGCCTTTCAATCAACAATTTGCCATATGTGTCCCATCAAATGGGGACCTCGGTACTTATGGAATTGCTCTCCACATATGGCACAATACTCAACGAGGGTGGTTCCAGAAAAGATGGCATAGAAATTTTTATCAATTTTCTTGTAATCTCTTGAATTCATTTTTGAGTAATTTTAAAAACTTTACTATACATTTTGTTGAGCATAGCTTTTTCAAAACACACAGAAATATTTGTTCTATATAGCCATACGAAATTGTTTTCATGAATTGTTGTAACCGCCCGCTTTCGCGGCAACGACAACGCATAATTATGAGGAATTTCTGGCCGAACCCCCTAACAAAAGCGCAAGTGAATAAGCGCGGACACGAACCATGTGAGTAGCCAGCAGCTGGGAGCGGGACACGCATGCGGGTGTCCAACAATTGTCAGGCGTCATCATCCGAAGATGGGAGGTGTCCACGCCTCTCTGTCCGCCCCTTTCTCCTGCAGCTGTGTGCGTGTCATTGTGTTGATGTCATCAACGGAAGAAAGATTGAGATTTTCCTCATGTTAGACTTAACTTGTGAATGGGCAGAGAACCTCTCTTTATTGGCTTCTGGTTCCGGTTTTGTGTCTGGCGTACCGTTATAATACTGTGTGCTAATTGAGAACCTAATGAAAATTTCTAACAAAAAATTAACGTTAGGAAAAATGCTTGAGCAGACAGACGGGCACGGGCACGGGCAAGCCAGAGAAAAACAAAAATAGAAGAAACTATTTTTAATGAACTTGAAATTGTGCGTGATTTATGTGAAGGTTTTTCATTTATTTTAGAGGTTTTTTTATAGCAGTAAATACCCAAAAGAAAGGGAGGGAAAAAAGGGCCCAACATTTAGTTTTATACTTTTTTATAAGTTAATCTTAAAGAAATTAAGAATAAAAGAATAGTTTTTGTTTTAAACACAAGTTTTCAAGATCAACATTTATTGGGGGAAATACCGCAAATTTGCGGGAAATAGTTATTAAATTTATATATATTATTTTTATTTTTACAGTTTATTCTCTTGCATTATTTGTTTATTAGGGAAATTTTCTTTAATTTTAAAGCAAATATGCCTAAACTATATATATGCAAAAATTATTATTATATTATTGATCAAATGTATATATAATTTGTATATTTTAACAGTTTATTGCATTATTTGTTAAGAGAAGTGTATTCTTAATTATTTGAAACACATCTGTTCAATTATTTAGTTTAAACAGCTTTGGCAGCCCCTTATTCAACCACAAACTTCAATTAGAGATCAATCAAGCAATATTCCAGCGTTATTTTCGATTAGCCGGCTGAATGGCCATAGATCGAGCAGATCGAGCGAGACACGTAAGGTTTTTCACAACAGACGCCGCAATTAGCGTCGTTTTGTGGCCGTCTCAAATTTCATATTGAATAATCGTTTAATGAGCCGCACACATAAACGTTAAGACGAGGCACCTGACACACGTAACTGATAAAGGCTCGTTATGAATTGGCAATCGATAAAGGGTTGCCAACTTTTTGGTTATTTTTTTATTTGATTTTTTCTTTAGTTGTTGCAAATTGAATTTACACTTGGCACATTTTCTTTTAGCCCGCATATTTATTGCAAATTATTTAGCACCCACCACAAAGAGAAAAACCCGAAACAAACGCAACTGCAGAGTTGAATGCTGATGCAGCTGCTGTTGGCGTCTTTTGCATTTTCCAACCAAAAACAAAACAAAACACAAAATGTTCAACACGCGAGCGAACGCTCAGCCGAACGCACACTAAGAGTGGGAGAGAGCAAGAGAGCGGAACTCCCCAGCCAACGCGAGGCGGCCGTTTTTCCGTTGTTATCGCTTCGTTCGTTGTGCACGCGGCAAGAGTTAAATTCAATCTGAGCGCACACAGTCTACGGACGTACGCTGCGAGCGGGCGAAGCACAACATAGAAGACATTGGCGTCGACGCTGGCAGCGACGTTTGGCGCTCATAGCTAGCTAAGTTAACTAGTTGGGTGCCGCTGACGTCGCTGTCGCGGTCGCAGTCGCTGTCGACGTTCGCTGCTGTATGGCCGAAAATGCGACTAATGCGAGTCTAGTGAGAAAGCAAGGCATAACAAAAGCAAAAGCAATACGTAAAGGAAGGGGCGTGAGAGGGTGCATACAAATGCATTGAACTTAGCTCAAATGAACCAAGTAAGAGAGAGAGAGAGAGCTAGAGCTGATAAAAAGAACGGAACCAGTCACAGATCATCTATTAAGAACCAGCGTTTCAAATGAACCGAAATAGTTTTAATTCACTTTTTATATAAACTCACATGACTTTATCTAGACACTTCTTGAGAAACCGGTTACTAAGCACCCTCGCGTGCTTTAACTTCTTGGTTGCCTAGCGCTACTTAGTTAGTATTGGTACTTATCGAAGCAGTCTTCGAGCGTAGTCACAGCAACCAAGCCAAACAAAACTAAATTTGTGCACAAATCCAGCCGCAAAAACCAAACTAATTGAAACGCAAATAAATGACCGCATGCAATTGCAATTGCGGCTGCTTCTTATTGGCTATTTATATTCAAGTTTAAAGGGTCTCTGGGTTCGTTCGGGCAGCATTATTTGTTATTTGCTATTTATTAAATAAAGGCAAATAACGCGATTCGTGTTTAAAAGACTGCCGCAACACGCACACAACAAAAGCAGAAAAACAAAGATTATCAAGTTTCATAATATTGCTAAATAATATCTACGTTGTAGAATGGTTTTGCAGCGCTGCAATATAGATATAGGCATAGGTATATGGGTATGTGTGTCAGTGTGTGCATAAATATGCAGATAACCAAATGATATAACTTGTTAAAAGAGTTGTTCAGCTGGTTCTTCGTATTTACAGATAAGTGTATGCGAACTAGTTCGCATAGAGAGTATTGGATTACGGAGCCAGTTCATTTGCTCGAATTGTAATCAATAAAAATTGATAATTTGAACCAAATTCAATTTAATTTTTAAAATATTATAATAGTTTGTATACGGCACGTTCTTCTAATACGAAAATTAGAAATACAGCTGGGATCACTTCCTTTAATTGTAAATGTTAAGAGTTCAACGCGATTTCATTTGCACGTAGGCCGTAATTGTTTACTCTGCCTGACTGCCTGCCTGCCTGCCTGCTAGTAACTGTCTCATTATTTATAATGAATAATTGTACAACAACAACAACAACAACAACAACAACAACAATGTCCAAAGTTGGCGATTTTTGGTGCGGCAAGTGCGCGAGCTAGTTGACTATTAATGTAACACCCGTTTGCCTTGTACAACCTTGCAAATAAAAAAATTAAAAAAAAAATAAAATAAAATAAAAGAAAAAAGTGGAAAAGAGAAAAAGAGGCTTAAAAGCAACTACAAGCACAAGTCACAGTCCAAATATGACGTAATAGACGCCAGACCAAATGGACGGACTAACCTAACAAAAGGCGTAGGATTTATCAGTCGTTGTTGTTGTTGTTGTTGCCTCTTTGCCAATGAGTTGAGTGCCACGCCCTCGCTCAAGAGACGCCTCGTGTGGGAAATCAACTACAAAAAAAAAAAAAGCAACAACTACTACGTAACGTGAACATTTTATGGCCAATTCTTTGCGCGATGTTTTAGCTCTGATAGGCAAAAACAGTTCTTTGTGCCCGTCGCAGGTGTTGGACTCATTGTCTGGCACTTACCCCAGCAGCAGCAAAGTTATATAATAAACTTGGGTGATATATATGTACTCTTAAGTATGTGTAGGTTTTCGGTGTAGTTGCTTACCTGAAAGTAAAAAAGACGATATTGTTAACATAAACTAATGACAAAAGTATTTGAGAAAAGTTGGTGAGGAATTAAAGCTTTGAGCGTAATAAGTACAATGAAAATAATTTTAAAAAAATATATACAATGGAGTAGCATACTAACTATACTCATAGAACTTGAATGTCAGCTTCAAACAGGTAAACAAGAGGTTCTAGTGGGTTTTCTTCCAACATCAAATGCATATATGTATATATTCTATTTTAGAAGCTATATGTCAAGTTTGGTGACTGTAGCTCTTATTATTTACCAAAATTGCCCAAATAATAGGATATCGATATCGATTTTTATCGATTGCTTGGAAACGGAGTAAGTTATCGATTATCATAGGAGCATCTACATCTAAAATTGCAAGCTCTTATAGGTTCTGACATCCTTGCGTTCATTACGGACAGACAGACGGACATGGCTAGATCGACTCGGCTATTGATGCTGATCAAGAATATATATACTTTATGGCGTCGGAGATGCTTCCTTCTGCCTGTTACATACATTTGGATTTTGCACAAATAAAATATACCCTTATACCCATTTTTAATGGGTTCAGGGTATAAAAAGTAAGAATATCTTCGGCATGTCAGAGATGTCAAGGGTATAGAAATATATATACATTAACAAGCTAGGGGAGATAATGAGCTGAAGAAACTTGGATGAATGGATGGCCTTAGATCAAGCTTTACACCTCTTAAAACTAGAGCAAGAATAAGTATTGATTATTGATATAAATCCATAGAATTCTCTTCAAATATGACATTGTTTTCCTATATCTACGATCTGTACGTACTACAATATGTATTATGAACGTATTATAAGCTCAAGTTAGACCTATTATACGATTTCTTAACATTTTCTATTTCCTATGCCTACAATTCGTGTCCTACAAACATTTTCCGCATTTAACTTAAACGTTTCTTGAACGTTGCCAAAGTGCTTTATTCTGTTCTTTTATTTAAATTTTTAATCGCATTTCAGGCGCATTTGCATTAATTATAATAATTGCAACATTTTGTGCTTCAATTCGTTTAGTTCCACGTCGCGTGGGTTTTGTAAGTGTCTCAGGTTTTCTGGGTCAGCGTCACATTTGGGTTAAAAATCGATTTTCGTTTATGATTTTACTGTTTTATTTTCTGGCTGTCTCACATTTGTCTTTCTCACTTTTGCCCTATGCTCTTTATGTTGTGCCGGCTTTAAATGCGGACTATGGACTTTCGGCCTGTGTGTGTGTGTGTGTGTGTGTGTGTGTGCGTGTGTGTGTGTGTGTGTGTGAGTGTGGGCAGGTGCCAGAAAATTGTTTAATCGATATGATGGAAGACCAAGCAATTTGTTGTTGTCCTATTAAAGAAAACAACACCTTAAGTGGATGGAATGATCCATCGATAATTTATGTTATAAGAAATTAATCGAGCTGCCGGAATATACCTAACATTTGAAATTATATTAATAATTCACGAAGTAAATTAAAACTTTAGATTAATAAAAATAAAAATGTTAGAATAAGAGTATTTTTGCCACAATACTCAGACTCAATACTTTTGCAGACATTTCCCTATGAAATTATCTGCTGAAAATTATCTTTAAATAAGAACTCACTTTTCCACCGATTTTTCCTATAATAATATTTTGCACAAATACGAGAAGCATAGCCCTAATATATGCTAACATTGGTCAAGATATTTAGATAAGCAAATAAATTTATCATAAATGAACCTACTTTTGGACCGATCCTCCCTATGGTCCGATTCTGCGGCATCCAACATATATATACTGCCTGCATCAAGACGACAGCTTTAAGAGTCTAGTTCGCATAGTTCGCATGGAGTAAAAACAAGTCTTCTTCTATGAGTTACACATTTTATGACCAAATTAAACAACCCTCTCGTCTCCAAGCTATGGAATTTTTAAAGCAAGTCTGCATGCAAGGCAAAGTTTTAAACAATTTCAGTGCAGTTTTTTTTTTCAAAGAAAATCCAAAATAGTTATTAATTCGAATTTTCATTTGTACCGTTTTTTGTACTCGCAATTAAAGCATCATAAATTCGTAAAAAGCCATTCAACACGAACAGAAGCTGTAAAATGGGAACTTTTTACACATTTCACCTTGGCACAGTGGCCAGCGGCGACGCCGTTCAAAGGTTGGTCAAAGGTTTCCATGGGAATGGACAACCGCTGTTGGCACCATTCCATGTTTGGCCTTTTTCTTGGCTCTGCTCTGACGCCGCTTCTGGCTAATTGTCAATGCTCTGTTTGGCTCTCTGTCGCAGCAAAAGTGAAAAGCATAAGAAAAGAACGCAACAGCAAGGTGTGCTAGACGGTTTAATTAGCTAAGGTCAGTTGGGTTTTATATATTGGGAGAGGCTGGCTGTTAATCAAATGCGGAAAATGCCAAGCAAGTGATTTATATGGTTGCATAACCCCAACCCACCAACCCACCCCGCCATAGCACACACACACACACTTCTCGCTTGCCCCCTGAACTGAAGTGTGTCTCAAGTAAGTATCTGAGAGTTAGATCTGCTCCCACATTACTTTCCAAGCAACGTCGTCGCCCGCGATACCAATCTATGTCACACTCATGTTGTGCATGTGTGTGCGAGTGTGTGCGAGTGTGGGGACGCACTTATGCAATTATAACTGTAGGCATTCGAGTATATAAAAAAAAAAAAGAAAAAAAAAACAATGGCATTTGCAATTTGTTCAATTGTCAGATTGTCTTTCGGCATTTAAGTGGAGTATCTCTCTTGCAACCCATGACGACATGCCTTTTGCTTCAAGTTGCCACAGCCACAACAAAATTGTGGGCACTGCACTTGGCGTCTCGCAGCGCAGGCTGTTCAATATTTCAGATTTCCTAAGGCCTTACACTTAATATGTCGAATGGTCGATTAGGTAAACAAACGAATTGAATTAAATAGATGCAAGGCACACAAACAACAAACTGTAGACTTTTTCTGGTCAAAACTTAAACACATTCTTAACTTGTTTACAATTATCCGTAATACTTAAGAATTTGTTATGCAGGCTGGCCTACAGCAACCCATTAACCCTTTGGGCCGAATGCCGATCCCCCGAGCGACCGAAGGCAAAAAAATACACAAATACAAACTAAGAGGCTAAGACTATATACTTGCAAAATAGTTTAGAATAGATGACTTTATACTCCGACCAGACAACGGGCATATAAAAAGAATTGTAACTGTGCATATTCAATTCTGTCTGCGTGAATGGAATATTGTGGCCACCGGATACACAAGGCTTACTCAAGAATAGGTTGTGCCAGATATGTTAAAAGGCATTTTGTCGTGCGGATCCTCGAGATTCTTTAACCAGCGCTTGATCAAACCGTAAAGAATTCCGGCTGTATTGAAAGAAAATCAAACATACTAAACTATTTTCCATCATCTAATAAAACCTAAACAAATAAAAAGATTAAGGCAGGAACTGAGCTGCCCTTCTCTTTTCTTCTAATAGTAAAGCTTGTGGTTTGTGTCTTTGCTAGACGCTGTAAGCCAAATGCAGCACAGCCATTGCATGCAAATACTTGAACAATTTCCATATCTCTAGAGTCTAGATCTAGTTCTACCAACTTTCCTAAGTTTTTGCTCCCATTTTCTTGTTTGCAATTAAATTTCAACAATGTTTTCTCTCATTTCTTTGTTGCTGTCAATTGTTGTTTCGTATTTCCTTATCAATTAATACCTTTGGCCCCGCTTATTCTTTTCGCTCATTTCGTATGCAACGCCAAGTTTCACACAACAATCAACGACGCCCCTCAATGGTGTCCATTTCGCATTGCAAATGATTTGGCAAGAACAACCCACTCCCCACGCCCTTGCAACCTTCTGGCCCGCAGCTAGGCACTAGAGCTCCTGTTTCAGCGCTTGCTGCGGCATTTCCGTTTCCCGTTTGGCCTGTTGCATAAAAGAACAATCAAAGGTCTTCAAATGATTCGTACGTGATATTTTTGCGCAACATTCTTTTTCTTTGTTGTCTTGTTTTTGCCATTTTCACTCTTTTTAATTTTTTTTTTTTTTTGTTTTTTCCTGCTTTCGGAATTTTCTTATTTCTTTTTTTTTTCATGTGCGCACACCTTTCATTTTCCATTCACCACATCTCTTGTGTCGTTTGCTGTTGTTGTCTTTACTCCTTTTTATTTGCTGTTTTTTAATTTACAAATAATTACGCGCAACAACAGCAGCAGCATCAACCAGCGACAGGTAAAACAATTTACAATTTATAATTTACACCTGTCGCTTGACCGAGTCAACAATTTGCATAACAACAGAATTTTTTTGTCGCTTTGTTGTCCCATTCAATACTTTTACAGAGTGCCTGCCGGATATCTTGGATCTGAGGTGAATTTTTGAAAATTCAATTTATACCGCAGCCAAAGAAGTTACCTTTAATTTTAATATATTCAAAAAATAGAGTTTTTAAGGAAACGTAAAAGCATCAATCTGTCAGTAAATTGTACAAATATATTTAGGCCTCTTCTTAATTTAACATTTTGAATTCGTGTTACCAACAAATCTTATTGACTTTTAACATAAGCCACCCTTCTTGCTGCTATGCTGTTATGTTAAGTCCGTAAGGAAAATTCATATGTTACGCTTCTATTTGCAGAGTCCCTTCATAACAGCAGTGGCTCGCTTACAGTGCCTTTGTTCTGTTAAGCAATGTTAAGTAGGATTTTAACAGCAGTAGCTGTAGGTTTTTCCATTTCCAAGAGTTCTTAACAGAAGCGCCACATTTACAGTTTCAGTGTTCTGTTAAGTACCTGTTAAGGATGTGTACAGACTATAGCTTTAAGTTTTCTTAAACATTTTTCAAAGCTGTTATACCTAACTGTTGCTCTGTAACCAATTTTAACAAGCTGTTATTATAATTTAAATATATTGTTGCGATTGCCCTTATTAAAAAATATCAGTTATAACTAAGACTCTTCCAAATTAGAACACGTTGCGTGAATAAAAATAAAAGTGTTTTTGCTATAATTTAATCATAGTAAACTATTTCCTGAAATGCTCGATAGAAAGATTAGCTCCAATCATGAAAGCAATCACGATTAAGGATCAAGCAAAAGCTGCCAGCATCAAAGACGACTCTGTAATTGCTGAAGATGATGGTTCGATAAATAAGGTAAATTGAACATTTAATGATAAAGCAATTAATATACAAGATGTTTACAGCCGGAAGAGGAAAAACACGCTGCCAACATTATTGCGGCTAAGTGAAAAGGTTGGTAAGTTGACCCTATTGGCACCAAGTCCGCAACTGCCCAGCGGTTTAGTGAATTGGCAATTGGTGTTTGCACGAAATTTCTCAAAATGGCCAACTGCGATTCGAGTCGATTTCAATGACCTTGAGGCGCCGTTGCACTCACTCTGTATCTTACCGAGCCGGGGAGGCCAAATCAGTGGCTGCACTTTATATAACAACAGGCAGCAGGCGAAGGGGGCGGCAGGTGGCATGTGGCATGCGGGCCGAACACAACCCACACCAAATAGAGTTTCACCTGCCTGGCTGGCATCTAGCTACGGCTTAATAGAGACCCAGAGACAAAGACAAAGACAAAGACGAGGGAAAACACGTTTGCGAATTTTGTAGCGGGCGAATTCAAGTGAAAAGTCGCGCGCATTCGCTTTTCCAGCCACGTTCAAATGTTAAAGAAAATGACGCGACGTTGACTGAATTGGAATTTGGCGTTAATGAATGGCCAAATTAGCTGGCCCCCAAATCTGTCGAACTGTTTTGTCACTGTCTCTGGTCAAGTGCAGATTTTGTTTCTCATCGAGGGTTTCGTTATGGAAAACGATCGACACTCGATTTCAAAGACACATTGAAAGCCGCCCCCTTACCCCCTTCAAATATTTGTCACGCCAGAGTATCTCAAAGATTGTGCCACATCATGCGAGAGCTGGAGATTTGTGACGTTGCACATTTTCAAAAAGTTGAGTTTTAACATTTTTGTAACGGCTTGTGCAAGAAAAATTGCAAAAGCATTAAGTGGGGAATCAAAAGAGAGAGGGGGAGCGAGAATTAGAGAAGAGATTTCAGAAACGAAACACACTTTTTTACTTTTAGAGCCCAGAATCATAGAAGTCTAAAAATCTATTTCAAAATACTTTCAGCTTGTAATACATCACAATCAAAATTCGTTTTTATTTCAATCCGAAAATCTGTTCTTATGTTTTTAAAACTGTTTCATTAAATTTTCTTTGGACTTACCCTATAATCGTAATCATGACGATTCTCCAGGCTTATATCGCTGTACATATCCTCAGTTGTATCACAGTTGGAGCTACGGCCAGAGGAGTTGAAACTCGATGATCTGTAGAGTTGGCTGAAAACGAGTGGAAAAATATATGTAAAGAATTGAATTTACAAATTTAAAGTAAATGCAAAAACACTAGTTTTAAGAGTTTATAGCTTTTATTAAACATTGACTGAGAACTATATTGTATTTTTTGTATTTTTCTTCTTTTTGATTTTGAAGACTTGCAGACTTTGCTACTGTGAATTGTTTCGAGCGGTTTGTGTCTGTACTATGCCAGTATTTCTGGTGTCTGCGCTCAATGGGAGCTTTTTAAGCAATACGCCTAGTGCAGACACAAACCGCAGCACAATCAAATCAAAACTGTAAAATGCAATGCGTACCAAACTGTATTTAGCCAAGACACTGACAAATGTATCTCGCGCTCTGGCTGCCAAACTGTGACTGTAATACCGTGACTGTCAAACCAATTCAAATTGAATCAAAATGCAATCAAGCTCATATAGAACAAATACGTAAGTTGTATTCGATATATACTTGGATTTCAAGACATTATCTTTAATACTAAAGCGTTAATTATTCAGATTTACAGCAAAGAAAAACTTACCTAGCTAAGGCATTGGAACTTATCTGCCTGCGGCCGGAACTGCAAACAAATTGAGAATAAATGTTGAAATTTAGTAAATTATTAAAATAGAATATATAACATTAAATACGATTCTACCGTGTTCCGTAGCCCCAGTTAGCTCAATAATAGTTAAGCTAATTCCTTAAATTCCTTATTAACAAATGCATTTGATGCCCTTCAAGTTGAAGCCCCAGCAACGAAATTTCTATAAATTGATTGCCCATTGAAGAAAATGCAAATAAACCAGCTGACATTGAAGAAAACCCAAACAAAAAGCAACTAACGTGGCCACCGAAAATAAGGAAAAAGAAAACCCAACACGTGATAAAACAGAAAATCAACAAAAACAACAACAGAAAAGTCAAAAGAAAAAAAGTAGGAAAACAATGGCCACCCACGCAAACGATTGATGCCTACAGACACACAAAGTTAAAGAGAAACAGGTAAAAAAAACAAGACTACAATAACAACAAAAAACAATGGAAAGAAAATGCAGCCAACAAAATGTAACAAAATCAACAACAACAACAAACACAAAGACAAAATAATTGCGACGAAAATAACTAAAATTAAGTTGTAAAAGTAAAAAAAAAAGGGTGAAAAATGTGTAAAGTGCATTTAGAGAAAACGTGTCAAATGGGCAAATCTTTTTTTTTTTTTATTTTTGCATTTGCAGGTGTGTGGAAAATTCGTCAGCCATAAAACTGGGGTGCAGCAAAATTGCGTGGAATGTCAAACTTAAATATATAAATGGAGAAATTCAAAAAAATAAGATATATTTAACAACAAACTAGCACTTAATATGAACAATTTCTTTTATGCAAAGTTGGTTAAATATATAAATAATTTGAGTAAGAAGATAAAGAAAAGAAAAGTAAGAGCACACTCTGAACCTTCTTGCTGGTTTGATTAAACATTAAAAAAAAATATACAAAAGTTTTGATCAAACGGGGTCGAACACGAAACTCCATTCAACCTTGCCAACGATTCATAACTCCAGCCGTAGATTTTTTTAGCAGTAGATCTTATAGTGCTATAGAATATTTGTCTGTTCTCAACAAGAAGATGGCTTAAATTGTTGGCGTAGTTCCAATTCTAGCTCTTCAAACTCAACAGATTTGCTCAAAAACAGGATATCAATATATAAGTTGTTAGTCACAGAAAAAAACTCATTCTGAATTTCAAGTCTCTGCTATAAGAACAGATTTATGCATCGACAGATATGGCTCAATAGATTCGGCTATTGAATATCAAGAATATATATATTTTATGGAAGAAGCATCTCCGACGTTCTTTTTGCGTGTTGCATACTTGTGCACAAAACCATTATACCCTTTGCACATATTTTCAACGGGTTCAGGGTATACAAAACAATCAAAATAGCGACCACATGGGAATTGCATTAAAAATTGGCACTTTCACGCTTATATATTGTATATAGCTAATATATGTAAAGCTAGCCCAAAAGCTGTTTTTACAGAATAGTAAAAATACAAATTTTTCAGCCCAATTGAACTAATGCAAATTAAAAGCCAATTGTTAGCCAAATATAAAAAAAAAAACACATTGAAAATAAAAGTACGAGAAAAATATATAAATATGTCTGTTTTATAGGGCTCAGCCTTACCCTCGGCTGCTCCCCCTTCCCAAACCCTCCCCCCCCCTCACGCACTACCCCAAAAACTGAACTGAACTCATTAACCCACTTTGCAGTTGCGCTAGAAATAAAAACTGTCTCATCTGGTTTATGAGTTATTTTAAACAAGACTATAAAACGTGAGCAAAAAAAAGGAGAGAAAAAAAATGTTAGCAAAATCCAAATGCAAATTGGCAAGTTTTTCCAAGCCATATAAATAAAACATTGATTCAGTTATATAAATATGCATATGCAAAAGTTGCGTGCCTATGAAAAAAAAATATATCAAAAATTTAAATATGTTGGCAACATTTGTCTGTGTGCCAAATTGGCAACGCGCAAATTGTCCAAAGTGTTGGATAGACCAGCAATTTTAATGTGCTGCAAAGTTGCGCAATTTGTGCGGCAATTTTCAGTCCAAGCAACGCAAAAACTTGAGAAAAAAACGAATTTTACTGTTGCGGGAAACTAGATGCTCTTTCAATATAAAAGCCATATGTAGCTCATTCAAAATCTATGCAAATCATATAATAATGTTGCACTTTATGACAAAATCTAATTAAATACATTTTATGTTTTATTTCTATGTTTGGCAACATGATTCAGAATTCAATCAAGCCTCGTTGGGTGCGATAGAGTATACATACACACAGCTACAAGTCATCATAAAAAGTACAAAAATAAATATGTCGAGAGTGTACAGTCGAATCAAATATACCCTAAGACCATGTCGAAATTGCCTTGAAGCACATTCGCACTTAAAGATTATTTTGATATACACGAAATTAAATAAAATTAAATTAATCGATATTGATATTGATTAAGGAGAGGCACGTGGAGAGAGAAAAAGCGGAAAAAGAGGGAGATAAAGAGAGAGTACGAGGAATATTATAAGAAAGGAAAAGAGGCACAGAATGTGAGAGAAAAAGAGACAGGGAGCGATATGAAGAATGAGAGGGATGTGAATAGAGAAAGAGAGAGAGAGAGAACGAGTGATATAAGGACATTGACTCATCTTGATCAGTACCATATATATGCAATATCTTGATAATACCCTGTTTGGCATTTCAGACAAGTACAGGGTATGCAAAAACAATTTGAGCTGTGCGGTTGACGTTGAGTTTTGGTGCAGTGGTTGGCATTTGATTTTATTGATGCAAATTGAAATTGGCATTAAATCGCAGCAGAAATTGATGCCAAATGTGGCAGCAGGTGTTAATCAAAATGTTTGCGACATTAGAATGTTGCATGAGGCCACAAGGCAACGGCCCGACATGCAGGCACAAATCAATGTGCAACACATGCAACAGCTGCAACAAATTGACTATTCAAATGTCTGCAATAGGACACAAAAACATTTAAAACAGGTAAAATTATTCAAACAAATCCGTTGCTGAACAACTTTTCAAACGCGTCGCTCGCATTAAGTTCAGAAAAAAACAAAATGTTTTAGTTTCTTTTTTTAAATAAGTAGCAAAAAAAAACAACGAATCACAGAACTGACAGTTAATTATAAAAACGATCAAGGTAATGGCATGTAATCAGCAATAAAATAAAAGTAAAAAAAAAAACCAACGCTAACAAAAAATAAAGTGTGTTTTAACATAATATGATTAAGGTCGCGTTTGGTGTTTTACTATTATTATTATTATGCTTTCAACTTGATATTTGTTTGCAACGAAATCAATTGAAATGTGCGCTAATATAATATTTGGACAGCTGCAGAGCAAAGTAGGTAACCTTGGCTCCACAGTATTTGGGTTCCGTTTAGCTAACATAAAAAACTTTCGGAACACGCTGAAAATGTGGTTAATTGAAGCGACAGCCGGAAATTGTGGCTGCGGTTTTTCATGTTTTGCAATTAATAAACAAATTTCGCCTGTTTGAGGTACCTTAAATTCGTTTGCCGTCTTTGAGCTTTTCATTTATGACAACGTTTGCAAAAACACACAAGTTTTTCTGCACATTACCCGAAGCTAAGTTTAGAGTATCTTAAGGCACCTGAAATCTCATTTTCTCTATCTTTCGCTTTTGATTTAATATTTCACTTGTTCAAACCAAAGCTAATCTAACAAAAACTCCTGAATTCTTCCGCTCTCTTAAGCTTTCTATGTCGCATTTCACAAAATATAAAAGTTGAGAAAACTGCACAAAAGCCGAACTTAAGAAACTCTCACAAGGCTTCTTAATGCTCTTCCTCTTATCTTGCCCTGCGCTTATCATAAAAGCCAAAAGTAAGCGAAAGTTCGAAATTCGTACTGCTCAAAAGCCGAAGCCAAGCTACCCTTACAACAGCTCAGATACCCTAAAAGTCACCTGAAATGTCTAGTTCCTCTTCCTGTCATGGACAGCCAACTGCAACAACAGCAGCCAGTAAACGGACAAGACCAGAAAAGTTTTTGCATCTTACTAGAAACAAATGTGGCTTACAGATTACCTTCAGCGTGATTTATTTCATCCACTTTTAAAGCAATGATCAGTTGGTATTTTTCTTGTCTGGTTTTGTTTGCTTAATTTTATTTACTCGGACTAAGAAGAAAGGTAATTCTTAAGCTTTAAGATTTTCACAAGATTAGCAGAACGCATGAACATGATTTCAATACACTTTAAAATTCGATACAGTTTAAACGTATTTTGCAAATAAACCTTGGCTGAAATTGGTTGAACCAGTAATATCTTCAACTTTTAGCACAAAACCTGCCACGAGCAAGCCCGGGAAATGCCCGTCTAGTATACATAAAATCCATCCTCCATCAAACATTTATTTACTTTGCGAACTCGTCAACAAAATTATACATAAAGTATTCAAATAGCGAAAAGAAACGACAAGCTGTCAAATTGTCACATGCACACGGAGGACCAGACTCTGGCCCAGGCCCAGGGCGCACACCTGTTGATTGAGCTACTCCCTGCCGCACACTTTGCGCCCCTCCCCCCCTACTCTACGCTCATTACGTAAAAAATTCTATTAGACGCACGCTCATTGCGGACTCCACTTGCCCGCACTCCTCCCGCACCGGCTATTATTGCGTTCCGCTTGGTTTGCAGTCGAGAATTTTGTTTGGCTTGCAAAGGGCATAAAATATGAAAGGCAGAGGTCGCACATGCAACGGGCACATTTCAATTCAATAGAAGTTCACACAAATATATAATTTTAGTTTTTTGCTAAATGACATAACTGGAAAGTATATATGCATATTTGCAGAGTGTTCTATTTAAAAGAGAGTTCATTGCACCGATTCTGGCAAAAGATACAGATAGAAACATCAGCAGAGCTTGATAAATGAATAGAAAGAATATTTTTGCATACTTTATTGCTTGATTCTTTTTCAATAAAACGCATGATTTAAGCGGCAGCCTAGAAAGTTTAGTTCATAGAGAACAGACACAGAGTTTGATTTGTTTTCAAAACGTTTTTTTTATCAGAAATTTAGTCTCTAGTAGGGTTGGATTATAACATCTATCGTTCATTTATTAAATTAATTTATTCCTTCAATTTCAGTTCACATTTAGCTTTAAGACCTTCGTCTGGGGAGCACCGCGCCTTGAAAACTTGAAAGTTTTTAATTAAAAGTGACTTTTCTAGTTGAATTTAAAAAAAAAAAATGACAATAGTAAGCGTAATAAACTGAGCATTTCACCTGCACAAAGCTAGCTTGAAGCTACCCAAATGAACGGTACTCGAAACATTAAAGATGCCATAAAATTTGAGGCGTTTCCCAGGCACTTTATGAGCCAAGACTTGAAAGGCGTGTTTAGACACTGTCCATCCTTTGGCAATCGGAGTGAATTGCTGCAATCAAGCACAACACGAATTACGGCTAAAAGTAATTGTTAGAAGTACTTGAGGCATTCAGGCGTTTCATTATGAGCCAATTTGTGGTGAAAAACTACCGAAAATCTCCCAGTTATATATTTGGCATTTGCATGCAGAGGCGCAAATACATATTTATCAATGCAAATATGGGTCAAACTGTTAGACAACATTGGCAGCGGCTTAGTTAGACAGTCTGTTGTCGGCTTTTGCATAATTTACAATTTGATTGATTGACTTGGGGATGGGCGCAAGTGCGTCAAGGTAATATACACAAACAAACAAAAAAAAAAAAAAGCTGAGCCATGCCTCTTAATATTAAAAGATATATCTGCCATAATAATAAATAATAAAAAGCCAGCTCTGTTGAAGTTCCATTGTCTGTTTTGAATTTTAAGCAGAAAAACGCAGCGCGAAGTTCAAGAAACTCGCGACTTTGGCTGATTATTTAATTTTGCGTGCCCCTCAACTGCCCCATCCCTCAGCTTTATAGCCAAAGAAGTATTCATAATTTAGTTGGATCGTTAAAACTTTCGTCTTGACTGCTTGACTTTTACCTTATTTGCACTGGGCAACAGGTAATAACAAGTGCGGCAAACACGTTACAAGCTACATAGATACTTATAAACAACCAAGGAGGGGCAAGGTAATCTTATTTATTTTTTTTTTTTTCATTTTTATTTTGTGAAACGCGACCCTTTGTCAGGTAACTTGAACAAGGCTTTAATTAACAGTTGGCTGTTAAAATATGCACATGACGCACTTGACACGGTCCTAACGCTGATTTTTTTTTTTAATACTATGACAATAATTACAATGAGAAACAACCCTCTGCTGCAATTCTCAGAGTATTCGACAAGTGCTTGCGTACTAAAGACTACGGATACAATAAATATTCGTAACTTTGGCGAAACAAACACAAGAAAATTCATAGTAAATATGCTAATAGTAAGAGAGATAAGTGGTTAATTTATTGAGAAGTAAACATTAGTGGGAAGAATAGACAGACAACCAATATTTTAACTAATAATAAGACAGGTTTGATAACTGATGTATTCATCTAGACAGAAAGACCATAAGTTGGACAGGTTAATAGATAGAGATATATCCAATTGATTGACAGATTAATAATACTTTACATTAATATCTACATTTGTATTTACACATAATATAATACAAATAATGAATAGTTGGCCATTATATTAAGAAATAAAATATAAAAATAAATACAAGAAATTTAAAATGAAATGAAAAATTCAAATTGGATTAAAAACTATTTTTTTTCGAGTACTATAAATATCTCAAACAGAATACAAAATTTTAAAATGCCTATTGAATTTTCTGATTCAAAACGGAATTAATATATAATTTTGATTGCAAGTACTTCAAATAAATAAATTACATTTTTGCTAATACTAGACAATTCTCCTTGTCTCCATTTGCCCCCTTTTTTTCAAACATTGTGAATAGCCGAGCTTTGTAAAAGTTGTATGCACGATTCAAAGACTTTTTGTCATGCTACATTTAATGCAATAAAGGTAAGAAAATCAATTGAAAATGTTTTATGACAAAGACAAGTCAACCAGATAAGTGGGGGTTGCGGGGTCAAGACATGTAACGATTGTGCGATTTCTAAAGAAATATGTATATATGCTGCAGACAGGTAACAATTTCATATATTTATATATAATACTTATGGAGCTGAGTCACAGTCACAGTAAATTGTTGGCAAAGGCGAAAGTGTTTATTGTTATGTGGGTGTTATTTGCTGTGGGCGTGTTTCATGGCGGTTTCTTTCTTAAGAATACATTTAACAATGCTTTACATGACAATTAGGTGCAACAATAACAACAACAACAACAACAAACGTTAGGTATACGCACATTTTTCTCAAATGACTGCGGTCATAGGGAAAATATTCATAATATTCATCATCCATATGAGAGATTGTTGCTCTGGAGTTTTGTAATTGTGTATAAAGATGTTGGCTTAAACCGCTTATCTTTCAGTTAACTCATTTGCGTATTGTTTGGCCTTTGGCCGCAGTGCGCCTCATTGGAATTGCCTTCGAGCTGTGTTGTCTTTGATAAGATAAAACCGTTAAGAGTTATTTGCCTTTGAATGATTGTACGTTGTTAGCAAAGTATCTTCATTGAGTTACGTGTGTTGACGCTTGATTAAGAGAGATACTTATTAGACGCTTGTTACACTGGACAACACATGTTTTCTACACAACGTTCCGATTGGCTTTGATTTATAAAAGTTCTTATTGTTCTCAGGTTTATATTTGAATTCTTTACACTGCACAACACACTTGTAACACTAGACAACACAGTGTTTATTAGTTAGCTAGATCTTGGCGGGTTTTCTGAAGCGTTTTGGCAAACCTGTTCAACTGTATTTCGATTCATAACTAAACTTCAATTTTCAAGCACAATTTAACAAGCTTTACAAATTGAACAGAAGCAACACAAAATATAATTTAATAATCTTTTTAGACACACTTTCGCAATGGACAAACACCGACTCGAGCCACACTTCACTTTATTCATTACAAATCATTTCGATACGAACAACAACAATTTTTGTCTGTCTTTTTTTTTTTTTTTTTGTGGCTAATACTTTACAGACACGCGCTTTTCATTTTGTGATTTTCTGAGCTCTGATAACGTCGTTAAGTAGCGTCTCGGAAAGCGAAAATGAAATCGAAATCAAAAGCAAAATGAAAATCCAAATGCGCCAAAGCCGTCTTCGACTCTGCACCGGCTGACCAACAGCTAGCAATAGCAAATTGTGCAGCAACTGTTAACCGACTTTTATGGCTGCTTGAATGTAATTAAGGCTATAAAACGATTTGATTTTGATTGATGCATCGCGCAAAGGGTGTGCAATGCACACAAGACAAAGACGAGCTAGCTAGAGCTAGCAGAAGCCCCAACATTCTTCCAAACGCTTTGATTCAAAGTATTCATTTATCATCCAAAAACGTAGCTGTTTAGGCTTTAAGCAACAATACATTGGCCAAGATTTTGATTTTCAATTCCGATAAAAGGGCGTGGGCAATGCATTTAGTCACGTGTGTGTCTGTGTGTCAGAGGTGGAAATGCACGAGACTGTGTGTGCGTCTCTCTATAGACATGTGCAACAATAAAAAGAAAAAAAAAACACAGAACTAAGTTGAGCTGTTCGTCAGTTGTTGTTGACGCTTGTTGCAGTCATTAAGGCGTGACGCCGTAAATTACCAAAGTGTAAACTACAATAGACACAAGCAAAGCAACTGCCTAAAAACAAAAGCTCATAGTAAATAGTTAAATAGTAAATACTAAAACGCGCTGCGAAAGCGAATTTTATGACCAAATAACTATCTTAAAATATATAATTTTTGCAGCTCGTCTTTGCGCTCATCGCAAATGTATTTCGCATACGCCGCGTTGTACGCTGTTGCAAGACTTTCACATACTTTTTTCTATACTGCTGCTGCTGCGGAATTTTGTGTAGATTTTTATATTGCCGCGCCGGAACCGAGTGTGTGACGACGGATGCGTTTCGGATGTTAAACAGCACACACACACACACACAAAATCCGCCAAACGAGAGGTAATGTTAAAAATTTCCGAATTCAAAACAAATGCGAACCGCACACGTTTGCAGCCAGTTTCGAACTAAAAATCAACGCAAAATGCCGCAGCGTCAATCTAAAAGACGGCTAACAAACAGGTTCGACGCAACCAAAACCAACAATACCAGCAGAGAGCCACAGCGAGAGAGTCAGACAGAGGCAGAGAGAGAAACAAAATGATGAACAAGTGTAAAGCAAGAAAAGGCGAGAGAGGAGAACCGCCTCAGAAACTATTTAGTATAGTGCGTGGGAGACTGTAAAAGAGCGTTGCCAGCTAGATATAAAGTTTTAAGGAGGGTGAATATGAATTGAGCCGGCATCTTGTTTGCTCTCTATATTTCCAATATGTGTCGCGAAAAGACATAAGTTAAATAAATCGAATAATGTTACTCAAAAATTCATGTGTGCAATAGTGTTAGTGCTAACAATTAATTAAAAAGCAAATAGACGGGTTTTCATAAGCAAGAAATGTTTGTTTGCGTAAGGCTAATGTAAAAGGTTGCTTTCTGCTTTTTGTTCCATTTTTTGTTTATCAGCAAGCAATCTTTTTATAACTATAAATAAATAAATAAAATATTAATTAATTATGATAAATGTATGCAGATATAAAAAAAAGTAAAAAACATGTTTGTTTAAATTTATGTTTAGAGGAAGAAAGAAAATGAACGGCAACTATGTAAAGCAACATGAATTTAATCTAAAAACTCCAACTTCATTTAACGCAACGCATTATTCAATTATCAATCTCTAATGTTAAAAATCTGGCAGCACTCTCAGCAACAAACGTCAAACCACTTTGTATGCTAAGAAGAAAATAGTTTGCGCTGCACTTGCAACATGTTCGTTGGCAACATGTTGGCAGACTGCAGATAAGAACTTGGCCAAAACAAACGGCATGCCCATTTGTATGACAGTCTGAGTTGTATACGTTATGCTCGAAGTTAACTTTTGGCTGCCAAATTGTCATGCTGACACTTTGCCAACGGTCAAGCGTCGTGTTGCCAAAAACTGTAAAACGTGGGCCAATTACTTCAGCCAAAGCTGCCAATTAGCTATGCAGGCGACTTCCAAGCTTTATCAAGCTGCTACCTTAAGCCAGATTGATCGAGCCTAAACTCTATAATTTGTGCGCTTTGAGAAGTGGAAATCTAAATGCAGCCAAATTGGGATTGACAGAGAGGGTATAGACTATATAATTGAAAGGCTTTAAGAAAATTGAATTGAAAATATGAAATTCATTTACAAATGTCATCATTAAATCGAATACCCCCGATTCCCTAGTAGGCATCCTTTTATATATCGGCTTAATACTACACATTTGAGTAAACAGAGGTATTCAAATATTTTCTTTGAAAGAAAGAAAAGTTTTTGATAAAATTGAAATTGTTCTTAAATTTTTGAAGTTTTAACCCAAGGACCAATGTGGACCTATTATACCGTAATCACATTCGAGACGGCTATAAAGATGACCCCATATTGCCAGGGGTGGCCCACGTTGTGCTGGTTCTTTTTAAAGGCGTATGGAATGTTGAAGTATTTGATTTTGGACCGCGATAGAATGTTTTGGATGCTATGCGCTTTTTTCATTTTATCAGTAATGCTTATCAATTGGTTTATAGGATTTAAACAGAAGAAAGTAAGTTGATGGCGACTATAAGTAATATTATAGTTTCTGACGGTTAACAATTATAGGAGCTCCGAAAGGAACTTTTAGTCAAACAAGAATTTATTCAGAGACGCTACGAGGAGAGCATGGATGAATTATTATCGATCCAATTGATGGAGAAACAATCGGAGCAATTTGATTGCTTGACGAATAAACATATTTTAATGGAAACTTCCTCAGAATTGCAGCGGTGTCCAACCAAATCAATGGGAGCCGCTTCAATTATAACATTGAAAGAATCCCTAACGGAGCAATCTGAGGACTTGCCGAGTGAACAACTTCCAAAGAAAACTTCTACGGATGCTCGGGGCCAGGAAGCTTTAACTAAGCAACGTAAACCTTTCGAGGAAGTTCCCGGTGAACAGACCAAATTGAACGGAAGGAACCGTCTACGTGTAACATTCAAAGAAGACCTGGCTGAGCCATGTAAGAGGCTTACGAATGAAAACTTAATTGCGGAAAACTGCTCGGAGATTCCAGATGCACTAGCCAAATCCGTTGGGAGCGGCCCGCATGTAACATTCAGGGAAGCCTCAACCGATTCGTCCTCTTTGCGATCATTTAACAGTGTCAGCCAGTCCACGCAAACGGGCAAGTTAAAGTCGTGCCTAAAACGTAATAATCCACATTCGGTCGAGTACAACTCGGGCCCCAAAAATTATCCGAAATGGAGGATATAATTGCAATAGTGGGCCAGTTGACTTAGGTTTTAATTAAATTTTGGGTTCATTTTTGTTCATCTTATTGTAATTGTTGAAATTTTAAGTTTAAGGGTTTTTTTTATATTAAACCAGAGAAATTCTCTCAATAGTTTCCCCTATTAAACAGTTGCTCTTAAATGCTAGTTGAACATCAATTAGGTTTTTGTGCTATTCGTGCACTTGACTTTGATGAATGCAACAGAGGAATGTTACCTTTTTTTTTCTCAGACGTTGCAAAAACAAAGAAACATTAGCATGACAAATTAAAGCTGGGTAGGAGTCGACGGGCTCTGGGTGGGAATAACCAGAGGCAATGGCTGGCAAGTTCAGACCTTAGCCAACAATTTACGAGGCACTTGCATGAAGGTTAAACCTTAACTGATTGCACAGTGTGCATCCAATTAGATGAAGATTTCTCACAACTAATTGCGGTTGAGCTGGCCAAAACTATGAACTGCTGCAGTTCCTGTGGCCAGCTTTTGGGTCAATTGTGGACAGCTTGACAAAAATGCGGCCTAAATTCTGTTGTTGCAGTAGCAAAACAAAGAGTTGACAGAGTTGCCGCAAGCAAAACCCGTTTCCGCAACAGTTCTCCCTCACTCTCTCTCACACACTTTATCTCGCTTGGTTTTGCACTCTTTCGAGTTGTTGCTCTCTTGTGCGCATTCCAATGGCATGACAGCCCCCAACAATAATGCAAAATGTCTGCAAAACTTGTAAGCCAAGTCAAGCCGAACTGAAGAAGCGGCAGCTGAAGACCAGCTCGACGCTCGAGGCACAACTGCGACTACCTTCAACCTTTTCACTAGCAACAAGGCACAAACCCCGAACGTCCCAAAGCGGATGAGCAACTTTTCGTGTGATGAGGGCCAGAAGCAGTGACAAAAGCGTTTGACAAGTTAACTGAAATGGCAGGCAGAACGACAAACAGGAAGCGAGCAAGTGATAAACAAAGCTGGCCATAAGGAAATGCCACAAACTATCCAGAGAACTAAGAGAAAATCTTACAAATTGTACGACTTCTTCAGTCTCTAATCTCGAGCAATTAATCTGTCAAGTTTATTTGCTTGCCATGAACTGGTCTATTAAATGCCACAAAACTCTTGACAGCAAAAACAAAAATAAACATAAATTTGTGTGGACTACGACATAAGCGAAAATATTAAAGAAATTTATGAAATTACTTGAAATATTCAATATATATATACAAATGAAAGATATACAATTGGGCCAAAAATAATTAAAAGTCTGATAAGCTGCGCTGCGCTTTAATTTAGTTAAGTTACTAAAAGCATAATCTAAGCTCTTTTATACAGTTTCCCAAAAGCATTTTATCTTATTGACGTAGCAAAATAGTGCAAATTAAATACCATAACCGAAATGAGCACAAAATTAATGAAATTGGGTTAGGACCATATGAAACTCTACATGACAACCAAAAAGCAACCCAAATGTGAGGCATACTCATAAATATGAGAAATAAATAAATGTTGCTTACTGTCTCATGGAGCCCCAACGACGCTGGGATAAACTATCGGGATTGCTGTAAGAAATATATATGATATGTTATTTATTATAAGTTTCAATTCAATATAGAATTGAGTGCATGCAATATTTGTTTAAGCGGTTTCGTATCCCATTTTCTTAAAGTGGTAGCAAGAGATTGTAAGCCTATTAAATTAGTTGCACTCTTTTCGTGATAAAACTACTTTTGCATGGATTTAGAGATAGATCTTCAAATAAACCCAGATATTAGTCTATGTAATACGCCAAGTAATATTTGTAGACCCTGCAATTAGATACTTAATGGAAAGCTGATCAAACGAAATACTTTGAAAATGTATTAATGCTGGGCCCAAGATTTGAATGTCTAAATTGTTTACTACTTTACAAATACAAATAAGCATCCCGTTTAAGCAAAATACTATCAAGGTTCTTTCATGCTGGCTGAAAAGCAAAGATTTGAATATCTTAAATTTTAGGCTGTTAAAGCTCTACGTTTTAACAAAATTCCAGATATCAGTCTATGTAATACTTCTAATAATATTTGCAGAGGTTTTTATATATTAATGGGAAAGCTATTTAATTAAAATTCTATCACGCTGATTACAAAGTTTTGCTTAACTTATGTTCAAGGCTTTTTGGTAAGTTAAACTATTTCTTTCTATTCTGTCTTCAGTTCCAATGCTTTTTTTATATAATTTAATTATAATATAATTGTAGCCTAATAAAACCTGTTCATATTTAAAAGATAATATTCTAATTAAATCGAATTAACCCCAACTAATCCTTAGTTCTGCTGGACGTGCATGAAATATATGTTTTAAATATATTGCAATTTTTTTTCCAATCGCGGATATTTTGCCAATAGTTTAATGGGCAGACAGACGAACAAGCAGGCGACCTGGCACTTTTAAAATTACATTTTACGACAAAATTTTAATGCTTCCTTCAAAACTTTACAAGCGGACTTCAATGTCATATTGTCTTCCTAGGCTTATATGTTTCACTAAATGTATTCGACTTTAAATTATACCAAACCTTTGTAATTGACATGCATCTAAGTACTTAGTACATTTATTTCTATGCTAAGTTACAGCACAGCCCGCATACTGTATAATTTAAGAGAGCACAAATGCTCTTACTATAGCTCAAACTTTAGTTCACCACAACACACCTCTCCAGCTCTCTCTCTCCCAACTACATTCTCTCTCTGTCTCTCTATCGGGCTGTGGCTCTCTTCGTATAGTGTGTGTTGAACATAAGCGGAAACAATGAGCGCTCTCTGATCGCGCACTGACTACAAGCCGCGACTGCGATTTCGACTGGATCGGCACGCATGAATCACGGCCCAAACAGACAGACACAAACACGGGGCATAGAAAAACTGGTTTTCCAGTCCGTGGGTATATGCACATTTTGTATACATACAAGCGTAGTCAAATGTACAAAAGAAAAGGTTAAATATTCAAAAAGATTTACACAAATAAAAAAACAGACTGGCTGATGCTCACTGGCTGAATATACTTGGACTTGGCAAACTGGTCATTTTATGGGCATTACGTCAAAAGGCGCGACGATTATGTGAGTGCAAAATGTCGGGGACAACATAAATCTCTACTGCATTCAAGCTTTCCATAACTAATTGCGGATCGTATTGGCCATATATGGCAGCCGAGACTCCGACTTAATATGTCTACAATCCCCACTTGCTGCTGTTACCTTGTAGGCGTGCGTCTCAGACTGCGTCTGGCCCAATTGTCGCGGGGCATGATGTTGAGCTCATCGTCACTGCAACAAAAAAATAGACAATGGGTTAATAAAGCTCTCTGTGGGTATAGTATATAAATTCAGCTAAGCTTACTCCTTGGGCGAGGACGAGACAACATGAGGCGCCAGATCGAGTTCAATGCCAGCACTGTCATTCAAATTGTTATTGCCGTCATTTGAGTGTTCACTGTGCTCACGTGAGGGGCCGATGCCGTTGCCGTTGCTCACGCTGAGATTGTTATTGCCGTTGTTATTGCTGTTGTTATTGTTGCCATTGACAGAGCTGCCCGGCGCCTGCAGCTGTGAGCTGTACTCGTTCTCGCCATAGCCCTCAAAGGATTCGCCATCGGAGAGTGAGGAGCACTGCGATTTTGCCACGCCCGCTGTGGCATTGAAAGAGAATTCGTTATTAAGCGGATATCTGTGAATTGTTTATGTGCAAACTTACCTGTGCTCGAAGGCGGACTGCTGGGCGTTGGGCTGCTGTCGCCGGAAATTGTTTCGGCATAGAGAAAATTATTAGTTGTGGCTTTAATGGCCGCATTGTTGTTGGCCAATTGAATGCGTGGCATGGGCGCCATTCTGCCAAAGCGCTAAAACTGCAAAGAAACGCAAAAGGTTGGAAGTTACTTGAATTGTCTGCAAACAGGTCAATAGGACAGCTAATTGAGGTTCGACATGCAACCAAAGAAGCCACAAAACTGCAGCCCATTGCAATTTGAACTCTGTTAACAGCAAGTAGAAAAAAACATGACCTAGGTGAAAGGCTTTATGCTCATTTCTTGCTTATTCTTCAAATAAAGATTTTTATGAATTTTTCGATCAAAATCTTTTCAGTTTTTTTCTTATATTTTTGGTTTAAAGTACATGAAGATACATCTATCATGTAGTTAATATCTTTTCCTTTTATTAGTTCCTTAAATGATTTGGTGCAAGTTTTTAATTGCACAAGTTTTACAATCAGAAAGAATGTCTAGTATTGCCATGGGAAAGATTTCATATCTTTGTAAACATAAAGCTTACGGCTTTGCAAATAAGTGAGGCATTTTGGAAAGCTTTTAATGGCGCATGGCTTGGAGAAGATATCTTAAAGAAAACACAAAGGTTTACTATATAAAATCATAATTTTTAAGCGTTCTGCTTTGAAAGCTATATAATAACTTTTGCATATATGAAGAAAGCATAGTGAAATTTACAAATGACAAATTTGATTCCAGATACCTTAAAACACAAAAAAGTTGTTCGTACACGTACTTAAGTTTCGACTGATTGTTCCTGCGGCAACTTTATAAAATAGTAGCGCGATGTTGATAGCATTTTGCATATGTCTGAGCAGTGTATTTAAAATTATAAATGCCATAAAAGAACCTACTTTTCGACCGACCTTCCCCCTATAGCGCTTTTATTATATACTTGTCCCATCTGACAGATCCCGCATAGAAACAATCAGAAAGATAGACAGACATGGCTAAATTAACACAAGCTCAGAGTGTTTCATATCTTTTCTTTTGTCTATATAGCTACATATATCTATTTTTCAACTATAAGCTCAATATATTAAGCAATTTGAATCCGCAACATTACCAATCGCTTTCGAAATTATATTTATTTAACAGCAAAAAACTGCAACAGGTGCAACAGTCAATGCATAGACTCCACTGACGCGATAAAAAACCAAACAAACGGAAGTGGTCAACCAAAAGCGTAACAAGTAACCCAAATGGGTCGAGGTTTGTTGTGGCCACTTCCCGCTGGACTTACCCGCTACCAAATGACAATCATACAACACAACAAAAATATACATCCCCCGCACTTTAAGTGTCCCGCAATTAGCTGCAGGCCAGAGGCGGGCAG